GAAGATAAGCAGTATAGCAATATCTCTGTATAAATTCTGAATATTGAAATTAATTGTTTTCTTATTGGCACAGTGAGGCCATGTTAAAAGTATAAATCAAATGAAGACATAAAGTTATTTCCCCTTTTGGATTTAAAATTCTCTTCAGGATTAAATGAATGAAGCGTTTAAAAATGTATCTAGGAAGAAAACCCAGTATTATAAATGAAGAATTTAAATATATATCTACAGTCACATGTATTTCTTTATTCACTGTAAAATCTTGTATGTTTGCTTACTACTTCATGCCTTCATTTGTTAAATAATGATGTAAAAAGTCTCTGCTTGAAGGAACTTGTTTGATCTTTCTAAGAGGAGAATTATTTGAGAATTGTCAGTAATTTGGAAGGTTATCTGTCCTAATGATATCCAATTCATAAGTGGATTACCCCATTAAAGAGAAAATCATTGTACTCAGAGGATCACTTTTATTTTTTATAAGGAAGACATAATATAAAGGCCATGACTGAATTTGCAAGTGTAATGATAGTTATATTAACTCATTGAAGATTTATTACAGTAACAGGCCAAACATCAACAGATTTTACACTATGAATGTAACACTGCAGTCAAAATCTGTACTTAAGCTCCAACTGTACTGACCAAAGCTAAGCACGGGTACAGAAAACTAACAAGAAAAGTAAGAGATCTATGGGCATCACCTAATTTAACTAAGGAGTTTCTACCTGCAAGTAAAGGAAAATAATAAAAATTCCTCTTACTCGAAGGACTCAGTCTCTTGAAGATGATACACTTCTACAGTACTAAAGACATGTATGGTCTTGAAGAAGAAAGAGCTGAAATATGATCACATATGATCACTAGCAGTCTGAAAAGCATGGGTTCGTATTATCGGAATACCTCATAGAAGCTACTCATATAAAATAAGTGGTAAGATACCTATGAAGCATATCATATAAAACAAAAAATTACTTTTCAAACAAACTGGATTTGTAAACCTGCCAAGCAAGGAGGAAAAGGAAGAAGAATAAATAGATGGGGTAATTATTAGCATGACTTATTTCACTTATAATAGTTTCCTATGAAAGATGAATTGGGGGCTACAGTAGTATTTATTGCATACATGTATTACTGCAGATCTTCCATATTGCAGTGGAAGGAGATGAAGACCTGAAGAATCTCAGAAAGGCTGAATTTCATAAACTCTTGGGAAAAGATCCATACTGTTCTCCAGAGCAACCCTAAAAACTCATGTAACCCAGGGAAGAAATGTAGTTCCTTAGCTGTCATGAATGACAATATACATCCACTTGACCCCATTTTCCTTGAATAGGCAAGGTATTTCTACTGAGTTTTAACATAGTTTTTATCTAAGTTTGAATTTTTTTTTTGTCTTAAAGTGGTCAAAGACATTCTTAGCTCATATAAAAATACTCAGTGGTTTATAAAGTTAATTAATTATAATTGTATGCTCCCCTGCTTCCTGGATTTCTCTGATGTCAGGCTTTGAGGTTTTTTTTCCCATATTCAAGAAGCAAAGAAGCTCACAACTTCTGCATTCCACAGAACATTTACATGACCATGTCTGTCCCACTGGGAAAATAAATGTAATGTTGAGTTTGATTCATGTGATTTGTCAATATAATTAAAATAAATTGAATCATTATGATTTTTCGGATGTGTGCTGGGACTGTGGCCAACACAAGACATGACCAACACTGTAAATGATCTTTGTGGCCTGGAAGATGAAATTCCAGTTTTAGCAATTCTGGCCTGATGCAGAAGTCACTTTGCCCCCTTAGGGGAGATCGGAATTATGTTTCTGTGCTTCGTGATTTTTTTTTTTTTCAGTAGGGTGAGGACCAGTTAGGCAGCATCCCTTCGGGACAGCAGAATGAATGATAGTAAAAGTGCTGCCATGCCACTTGATCAGTGGAAAATACAATGTATTCACCATGGAAATGCTGTAGGAAGCTAACACCTACACTGTCTGTTGTGCGATTGCCGTGTCAGGCTTAATGAGTGGTCTGTTTGTTTTCCTCTTATTTACAGGTAGTGTTGCTTTAGGGTTGGTTTATGACACTGCCTCACTTGGTGGCAGAGTGGCACCGAGGACCCGCAGCACAGGTGGGGAAGGGTTTGGACATGCCCTTTCTGAAGGGAGTTGAGTGTTGAGGGACCCCAGAGTGTCCCGGGGGATGAGACTCTATGGTGGTGGTGGCGATCGTCACAGTCTCAGCTTTCATTAATGCTGTGCTAACATCAATATTTTGACCACAGGCCACTGTTGTATCAACCATATTAGGATTTAAACACTACAGTAAACTTCTGCCCGCTTGTTGCTGCTCATCTTTTGCCATTTTTTTCCATCAGGGAGCTGTGTCAGAATTTGTGGCAAAGGGAAATTTTAAAGAATAGCCAAATTTGAAAGGCAGTAGGGAGGTTACAAGGCCTCTGGGTATTTTCCTAATGGACAAGATTTTTCAAAAAGTTCCAGAAAAGTTTGAGTGTATTTTCTTTTTATTTTGTGCTCCGTTTGCTTTAGTTCAGTAGGCATTTTAAGATCACTGTAACATAGCAGATATATTTGGACTCCTGTAAACAAAATATCCCTTGGAGAAGAGTTTTCTTTATTTCAGTTCAAAGAGAGCTTATTAAACTCCTTGCTGTAACTATTATGGGCTTCAGGAAAATAAAAAAATTAAACATTAGGAAAGTTAAAATTTACCTTTAGTTTAAACTGTCAGTTTAGTGACAACTATTATTTGCTCTCATACTGGTTAAATGTAGGCTGCTGGATCACTTGGGATTGGGCGATTTTGTTGTTATGCAGACACAAAGCATGGCAGGATTTGATCCTTCCTGAGACATGCTGACATACTACAGGAATACATACACGTGCATAACTACTGTTCTCAGCTGTAATCTCTATTCTCTACTATTCTTGTAACTGTGAGTTTATATAGAAGGCAGGCACTGCAATCAGCTACAGTGATCTTTTACATCTAGAATGTTGCATATCTGTCAGTGAATCATAAATGCCCTAGATAACCATGCCTTATCATGTTATTCCCATGTCAATGTATGAAAGGATGGAGGGTGACTCTGAAAAGCAGAATATATAAATTCAATGTTTTGTCTGGCTTTTGCCATATTAGGATCTAATATTTATGTGTGAAGTGGTATGTTGCAGTTATTCTTTGTTTCTTTCTTCTGCTAATGTCAGAAAAATATAAGCAGTAACTAGGAGGTTAAATTCCTGCTCAACAGGCATATTTCTGGATTTACGTTTTTTTCTAAGAGAGCTGAGAGCAGAGCTCAGTGCTTTGCAGTGGAGGGAAGCGCTGTGTGACAGAACTGAGCGTCCAAGGGAAACGTGGCTCGCAGCAGACATACATGACGGGAACGAGACGCTGTACCAACTTTTCCAGTTTCACAGGGACCTTGTGTTTTCCAGCTGTTTACCCTTGAGATCTAAAATGGCAATTTGGCATAGGCTAACAACCTGGTGTGATGTGAGCATCTGCGTAAAAGGCTGCACATATGGAGCATGCCCAGTGATATGAACAGCCTGTTACCCCACCCCCAGCCAATCTAGGAAGAGATGAAATGAACTTTGCACTTGCAAATGTCACCGAATACATTTTGCACAGGATTTTAAAAGGTTCTCCTATAAGCACTATTTTTAACAGCCAAATCCGCCCCCCAAAACAGAAAGGAAAAAACCCTAGGTGTTTTTCTGTGATTGATCTCAGTTTATGATCAGCTGAAGCATCTCTCACAACATTTACCTGAAGCCTGGTTTGGTTTACATTTTTATCATTGACGTTGAGATTTCTGGAGGTGGTGTGGATTTTTTGGATTTTTTTTAATTTTTTTTTTTAACTGGCATGAGCAAATTTGAGAATTTAATTGCAGTAGAATACTCCGAAACAGTGAGGCTGCAAGCTTGAAAGGCAGAGAGAAGAGAAGGAAGGCTCTCACAGCAGAGCATGGATAGGAAAGGAGCAGTGATTCTGCGGTGCTCAGTGTGCACATGTTTTATGAGATCAGTGCCGGGCGCTGCAGCTGCGGACAATAACTGAGCAGTCTGGCTAATGAAGGCCACCTGGATCAGGCTTCTGAAAAGAGCCAAAGGAGGACGTCTGAAGAATTCTGATATCTGTGTAAGCCCTATGTTTTCATTATCAGCGTATGTTATATGTATTGCAGAGAGGGAGAGAAAAAAAGATGGTGAGGAGAGGACAGTTGTTTTCATTCTGATTGAATTAGCAGAACTCTGTTTTGTATGCAGGGAGATGCAGAGGGAAAGCATAACTGTCATTATTTATAGAGCTGTTCTGGCATTGTGGCTGCTTCCATTGTGGTGATACAGGGACATGTGTTGAGTCCAGACAGATTTTATTAGTTGGAAGTTGATTTGTGGTCATTTGCATGTTTTGCTGAAGGGCAGAGATGGATACGAGCCATTTGCAGTTCTGATGGGGAAAGTGTGTCAGGTAAAGAGGTTGCCCTAATATAAAGATGGATAGCAGAGATTAAATCTGTTAGCAGTGATATTGTGTAATGGCAATTATTGATACTGAATTTGCATTTTGATTATAAGAAGTCTGTTTCCTTGATAATACTGTCACTGTTTAGAGTTTTAATTTTTATGGAGCCATCCTTGAAGCTGCTGTGTGTCCTTCAGCCCTGCACTGCACCACTGCTGTAACTCTACAGAGCAACTGACTCTGCTTGCTGAAAGGCACACAAATAAGAGGATGGGGATGGTGCAGGAAATAAAACACTGAGGAAGAGACCTGCACTCTTGGAAAGTCTCCAGAAGAAAACGCTTACCTACACATAATTTTTCTAAGTGACTTTCCCTTTTGGGCAGTTACTCTCTTTTCAGGGATACAGAAATAGGAGAAAAGGCAAGGTGCATAACCACTTCTACATTTATTTATTTTTTTCTTAACACTGAAACAACTTGTGACATTTTTCCTTTTCTTGTGCAGGGTTCGGCGGACTCCTACACCAGCCGTCCATCTGATTCAGATGTATCTTTGGAAGAAGACAGGGAAGCAGTGCGGAGAGAGGCAGAGCGACAGGCCCAGGCACAGCTGGAAAAAGCAAAGGTAAGGTGTTACTTCATGTCATAGACTCGTAAAATGTTCAGCTTTAAAGGACTGTCATGTCATCTGTTACTGTTTTTAATATGTTAACATATAGCATAAGACCTCTTACAAAGATTTTCCTGACAACAGTAGAAAATACATTTTCCAGGAAAAAGCACTTAGAATCAGTTTTCTAAAGGCACCTGACTGGTTTGCATCTATTAAGAGAATCCATAAGATTATTCAGAATAATTTTATTTAAATGTGTGCATTTTTTTCTCTTACTGAATATACATGTTTATTTGCAGTGTATAGGGTCAAAGCTTTGAGTTCTTACTAAATATGTTTGTGGAAGTTTGCCCATGGATCACTATGGCACTCAAAACTTACAGTTCTAGAAATCAGCCCTCAAACATCCTATTCATCTTTCTTCAATGAAGGATTGGTCCCTAGAAGTCATATGTAAATAAGCATAATCTGTTACAAAGGTCTTTTTTTGCCTCAAGATTTCACTGGCTTTCTTTACAGTTTTTGTGTTAAATGACCCTGTGAGTAATATGCTCTGGGACTTGTAAAGATTTCTCCTTCTGTCTCTATGCTCCTGTCAGATAGCGACAGTTTAGTAAGAAAATACTAAATGAGCTTTGGGTTCTTGCTGTATGTTTATATATTTTCCGCGAGATGCATTTAGGACTGTGAGGGTTTTAGCAGTGGAAAGGTATGGGCTTGTTTTTCTTTCATCCGCGATGTATCTTTAAATATTATTGTACCTGTAAAAATCATGCTCATCTTACTTGTTATCACTTGTTTATCATGTCGTTCCAGTTTTTCATATGCTATCTGCCAGATCTTGGTGTATCACTGTTTTCCAAGATCTGTTATCCTTTTTCATTTCTCATATTTAAATATTGAAATATCCTGTTGAGATCCCACCTGGGATCTACCTGATCTACATTTCTCTCTCACTTTCTCTCCAACCCCCCTCCTCCATTTTGCTGTGTTCTTTAATATGCCTATCTCCCTTCCGTCTCCCATTCTGTTTCCTTTTCCGCTGCCAGCTTTGCCTCTGCCCATTTACACCACCTGTTTTACAAGGGTTCTTCAGAAATTCAGGAGTCCAGATCATTGTTATGCACCTGACGGTATGGCGAGGGCCAGCTCCATAAATAATGCAGTACTGTAATGCATAAGCAGACAGCTTCATCAGGCCAGAAAGCTCGAACAGGGAAGACAAAGATTTTTTTTTTTTTTTTCAAATGTAATTATTGACTGGTATTTTAATAAGAGCTCCTAAAGCAGCTTTTTAATGAGATGCTGGAACTTGCCAAAAGATCCTGAACATCTCTTTGAAGTCAGGTCCTGCTGTCCTGGGATTGGTATAGCAGAAACTCGACAGAAGCAACTCACTTTCTCCCTTTCCACCTTGTATCTTAGAGATGTTGCTGATCATAATCAAGAGTTTCCGTTTTATCAGGGTTGCTTTTTCCTAGTTAGAGATTTCTTTGCTCCTAGAAAAGATAATAGGGGCTGCCCTGAAATTGAGGTAAGTGTTGAATTTTATCAGTAAATGCACAATCTTTAAAAGAAGAGTGGAAGTAATAATATCTTGCCGAGTAATCAAGGTAGCAGTACAGTACTTGCTGCTGAACTGATGCATCTCTTAGCAATGAGTAAATCTATGCGAGTGTTGCTATGGGAATTTGGCTTACTGATGCTGGCTTGAATGCATGGACTGCCCTTATGTAATATTCATGACCTCTAGCACAGCTGCCATTGTAGTTTGTACAGAAACTGCTAGCAGACCCTGACTTTTTAAAACTGTATTTCTGTACATCAAAGCAATGTTCTCACTCCAGCTGGCATAAGATACAGTCTCTAGGTCTGACACTGTCTGAGACTGTAAGACAACTTGTGAACAGTCAAAGTAGCAAAGACACTGCCAAAATCAACCTGCTGTAACAATGGGTAATTCTAGTCATATAGAAAACACAAAATGAATTATTTAAATTGTTTGTGCTCTATAATGGATTAAAGCTGGAACTACATTATCAGTTTTCTTTCTTGAGCCAAAAGTTAAAAATCACTCCAGGCTGTAATATATGGAAATGATTTTGTGTTGTGGCCATAGCAGTGTAATATTTAAATTAATAATAGTGAATAAAATATTATATGCATTTGGTGTTTACATTTGAAATAAATGTTTAAAAAGACGTAAGTTTAACCTAACCCAATAGATCTAAAATATTTCAGTCCTTCAACTCCCTGAAATACAGCTAATAAAACTAACGAAGCGGTAACTTCTGTTGGTGCTGCCTGGCTCCTACGTGCGCCCAGCTCTTTCCCGCAGGCAGCGGGTTTTGCTGCCTGCTCTCCGTGGCCACCTCGCCTGCATCCTGGCCGGCTGTCAGGCAGAGCCAAGTGACGCAGCTGCTTTAACTTTTCACCTTTTAATACTGTGAGTGGAAGTGTTGATCCTAAATAAAGTCATTACAATTGCATTTGTCACAGGAATTAGAAGAAGATGACATACATGAATAATGCCGCGGTGGAGGGAAAATGATAGTGAATTAAGGGTAGATAAAAAAACTGTTGAACTGTGTCATGCACTTAATGAAAACAGTTTAATGACATCCATTTTCATTCCTTACAGCTAGGGAAAACACCTTAAACTGAAGAGAAAAATACAGTAATAAAGCACACAATGGCAAATTGTTAGGAGGGTTTTAAGATTTTTAAATTTGGATTTTGATGGATTTGAAGTGTTTGTGTAACAGTAAGCCTGAATATATTATGCATATCTGATATGTATTCAAACAGGGAAAATAAAAACAAGCTTGTAAGAAAATACATATTCTGGCCAGTTTTATTTGTTTATTTATTTAATAGAAGCATTGCTTCCCTGGAAAATGGTTAAGCATATTTTGCTGAATCACTCTGGCATGTGACTTAGTGTAAGGAAGGTGGGGCCACAGGCACATGTTCAGAGTTGTCCAGGGATGGAAAATTAAGAGGCCACTGCTGAGGCTACCTGCAGGCCAGCAGATAATCCCAAAGGAAACAAATCTTCAAATTAAACTGTTAGGCTCGCAGCTGAGATTAAATGTTCCTGGTTAAAACAGTTTAGCAATGCAAATGGAGAGAGGTTGGGGTTTGTTTTGTTTCGTTTGTTTGTTTGGTTGTTTTTTTTTTAATAGAAAAAAAGAAAAAACAAAACAAAACATTTCAAGGAATTGAGGATTTTCTTGGTATACTCCTCATAGTCCATAGCATGTGTCTATCTCTAGGATAAGAGGACCTGAGTAGGACCTGCTGACAGTGCCCAAATCTAAGGACTTGTACTGATATTTTACTGAATTTCCTATTTTCATAAAAACAAGAACATTAAGCATTCACAAGCCAAAAAATAAATAAGAAACCCAAAGACATGAATTGCTTTTAGTGCTAATATTTTTAAAATTGCAATTTCTACAGAAAAAAAGCTTTTTAGTTTTGAAGGTTGAGGATTAAAAATAAGTGATAGTAAGTAAATAAATTTTTTTTGTCCATTCCTTGCAAGTATTCAGTTAATTATACTGGAAAATACTGTACTGACTGACAGGGATGAGATCAAAGGAACAGTGTTAGGTACAAGTATTAGACCTTTAAGTTCAGTACTAAATGAGTTAAAGTTTGTACATCAGAAAGGGGATGCAATAATGATTTTTGGCCCTCTCCAGTCCCAGTAAAATCAATTCAGATATTATGTTGATTTATTTTGCCTCAAGCATATCATATGTTATGAACTAGTTTTTGACTGAAATACAGTGAATCAGAGAGGTCTATAAACCTTTTCTCTTCTGCAAGAATAACTTATTTCTTCTCTTCAGGCTCTTCTCTTCAAATTTCTAGATTTTGCCTCTTTTTTTCCTCCCATGGCTTTAGAGCTCCTTATGCAGAGACAGTTTTCAAGTGAGATCTATAGAATATTTTCAGCATTTTGGTAAATTAAATAATTTTTTTTTGGTTATTTTTAATACATTGGGTTCTTGAAGTGCCAGTTAATAATCCAGATTCTGTTTCTCATGTGGGATTAGGGGGGAAACCCTATCCTCTTTGCTGTCTGTTGAGGATTGTTCTCAACATCCTTTGGTCCTGAAACTTCTTAAATGGCTGTCAAAGTCAGATTGTGGCCTTCCAGAAGTCAGTAATTCTGTCCATAATAGAAAATCTCAATTCCTCTCAGCTCTGCTTGTTTGCACTCCATGTAATGCTCAACTGCTAGCATCCTTTTAGGATTTTGTTAAGACTTGAAATATCCGTAGTCCTAGTTTAATATGCCATTTAAAAATTTTTTACATTAAGATGGTGAACCACTGAAATTTTGATACCAGACATCCCTTTGATGACTCTTAGGCAATAAATTGTCGTGTTTTGCTTTCTTGATGTGTGCTGTAGTAGTGGTGATGGCTTGTGATTGCGAGTAATAACGCAGTGTCTTAAGTGTAATGCATTATCCCCATGCATGGGTGGGGAACCACAGTCTTGAAATGTGTAGCAGGCTGTGATAATGCCTACATATCCCTGCAAGGCTGAAGGCATGAAAAAGATTGTCAGATGTAATTATCCAGTGCAGTGTGCCAAGACTAGTTATTTAAGTATTTATTCACTCTCAGACAGGTTTCACAGCCTCTGAATGACCCCATGCTGCTAGCAGGCAGCTGCAAAGCTAGTTAAGGTATGTCTGCTTAAGCTGCATTAGCATTTTTGACAGACCAGAAGTGCCCATCACCTGGATGTGTGTCCTTATATTATATCAGTGTCCTTATATTATATCAAGGAGACTATTTTCTCTCAGTTACAAGAACATCATGGTGCTGAACAGCACCCAAAGCCATAGCAACATAGCATAGTACTTTGTGTTAGCTGTTGTGTACAGTAGTATTTTTTTCATTGATTTCTTCTCATTTGCGCTTTTGTTTTAGAATACTTTCATTGCATGTTATAATTTCGATAGCTAATGTGACGTATCAGAGTTGCTGGGA